CAAAAATCTCAAAATTATGTAATTTAAAATAAAAAGAGAATTGTGCATAAGTGACAGATTTTGTGTGCGGTGTACTAAAATGTTTATGATCATAGGCGGGTTCTGTAAAAATTAAATATTTCTATTTTTCACAAAAAAAAACTTATAAGAATATAACATTTAAATAATATTAAATGATAGAAACTAGCTCTTATAGCAACGATGAACATAAAAAAAAAAAGTGGACAGTATAAATATAACTTACAGCGGATAAATTAAAAAAAGTCGAAATATATAGGTGATAATATTATATATTATGTATACAATTCATTACTTACTTTATCGAGCAATGGTTCATTAGGAATATTATTAAAGTATTATATTAATAGATAACAATAAAAGTAACAACTTTGTTATCATTTATAATTCCAATTAGATAATTCTAGGATATATAATAACCAGTAATAATAAAGAAAGAACGAAATAAATGATGCTTACAACGAACAGCGGAACACCACTCCGCATAAGATGCCCTTCTCTTGGATTCCGTTTTATCGTCGCGAACTCCTACAAGAGATAGATATTATATACTGTGTCAATTGTAATTGCTTAGTTATTATTGATTACTATTATCTTTCGATTATTATTTATTGCTTTGCTAATATTTATTTTCGCTACCTATTTTTACATTTGCTATTTTACCCACAAGCTGCAACACATCACGTTGAGTTGTCTATTGAACCATTTCAAGGAGCTAGTTAGTTTTTAGCGTATCGATTGCGTCCTTCGCTCTTTCGATCGCGTCCGGACCCCCCCCCCCTGGCTCATGCCATAGTATTTATTTTTATTTTATATTTTTAAAGTTACCCAGAAGTTTTCATCAAAATTTAATGATTATAATTATTATTAAAGTTGGTATATTGTTAATAACTAGGGCAGAGGACTTGTAGCATTTAATGCTAATAATATTGTTCGATAATAATTTAGTTTAAGAATTTATTTGATAATATTAGTTTGTAAAAAAATCGCGAAAGTCAAAATCGCGAAAATAAAACTGCGAAAATAAAAATCACGAAATATTTTAACAGCGTAAGCAAGAAAACCTATATATACGTAGAATAACTTATATTGTATATCGATAACGTATATATTTATAGGCTATTTGATAAAATATATATTATAAATAGGGCTTGAATTATAACTTATCTAATTTATCGGCGAGGTTACGGTGTATAATTTAATTTAGATTCTAGATCTAGAGTTTCCACCACTTTTAACTGTAATGCATTTGTTTGTTTTTTTTTTTTTACTTGTGGTGTTCGCGCAAGTTATCGGGTGCTATGAAATAGAAATAGATTTTATGGCCCTAATCGCGACTCCTCTTCTCTGGGATAAATGGCCCCCTACAATATGTTATTCTGAATTCTGAAATCAATTGTCCGATATTAAGCTTTGATTAGTAAGTCAACGGCCGTCAGAATTAGCTATCGATTTGGAGATACAAAAGGCCGTAAAGATTACGTACAAGATATCTAGCCCTACTTCGCCTAATATAGAGTTATTTAAGTGCATATTTTTAATGCATATTTTGTATATTTAAGTGCCTATTTTTAATGCATATTTTATATATTTAAGTGCATATCAGATGATTTTTTAGAGCTGCAAGTCCTCTGTCCTATTAATAACACAAAGAATCTGATGTATAGATAAAATCAACGATTGTCAATAACCTATTATATCATAATATACGTAATACGTATGTCGTATATCTTAATCCGTGGTTTTTCTATGAGTTTTACTGACTGACCAATAATATATAAATATCAGCGATAAAACGGGCGGTGTTGAGTGTAGTGATGTATAGTCTGTACAGTCTACGATATTTGCTACTACAATAAACGTACATTATAAAAAAAAAAAATAATTATAATTTTTTTCCATAAATGTTGTGTGTATAGTGGATACTTGTGCTTATAATTTTCTATATTCGTATTCAAGTAAACGTTAAACATATTATATTAATTCAGCCATTAATTGTAATACAATCAAAAGAAATGGATATAGAAATTAAAATTCCAAGACTTGCCAAAAGACAAAGACACCGATGCAATATAATGATGAACACACCTGAAGAATATTATAGAGTAAGCATTTTTATTCCATTCATTGAGTCTATTATTGAACAGTTAAACGACCGATTTAATAATCACAGAGAAATAATATCTGGGTTTCAAGCGTTAATTGATTATAATATTATAACTGATCTTCATCAACTTGTACATTTTTATCAAAATAATATCAAATGCTATGATAAAGTAGTTATAGAAATTAATTTATGGCATAGGTTTTAAAAAAAAATAATATTAAACCCACGAGTGCATTAGACGCACTATCAAAATGTAATCCTGATTTTTATAAAAATTTATATACCTTATTGCACATCCTTGTTGTTCTATCTGTTACATCGTGTAAAGCGGAACGAACATTCTCATCACTCAAGAGAATTAAAAACTATTTAAGGAACACTACTTCTGAAAATAGATTAAATAGTTTGGCTAATCTTAATATTCACCGAGAAGTCCCAGTAACAGTGGAAGAAGTTATAAATATATTATCTAAAGAAAACCGGCGCTTATATTTTACACTATAGATAACTTTACCATAATTTAATTGGCATAATAATAATAATTAATTGAAATACTTTCATTGTAAATATAAATTTAAAAATGTAAATAATATAATTGTATTTATCAAGCAATGAAATGTATTTATAATGTATATAGTATATACTCAGGAAGAGAACAGAAAAACAATATAAAATAAATAAAAAATTTTCCTGGACCCCCTCCCCTTGAATAAATCCTGGTTGCGCCAGGTTAGATTAGTACTGAGTCCTTCAGTAAATAATCATATATTTTTCTGACTAGGTAGTCAATATAATATATCCCTAATATTATAAATTATAATAAATGATTATACATAGTAATAATTAATAAATATTAAATTCACCGTGTTACTGGCGGTACGTATAATAACTAATAAGGTATAATAAAATAAATTTTTGATATCGAATGGTTTCGTGAAATAAAGTCTAGCTTAGTAGAATATTGGTAATTCAGATGGAGCGATAACATATTCTTGCACTAGAATACAAATTTATATCTGTTTTTAAATTAAAGTCCATCAAAAACAAGCTTCACACTTTTATCTGGCATTTTGGTTGTTTTACATATTTTTTTCGACCTGCTGCAGCTCCTTTGATATCATATAATAAAATTTTAATTAATATTCATTTTTTAGTGAAAACATAATAATCCCTCTACATTTAATCCAGTTAAATTAATTAAATTAATATTCTTGATAGGTACTACACATTATCAACAAACAACTACAATGTATTATTTGACGTAATTTTAGAATCTTTAAAAATCTTCTACAAACGCTATTCATTGTACATGTACATTTATGTTACCTACACTAAAACTAGATAGATACTTGATACCCATTAAGCAGTCAGCAATAGTCGATACAATAATATATAACTAATATCACTAGGCACTTATTGAGAGATACCTATTATATACGTCTACCATATAAAACCGTGGTTTATATATTCAATAAATACCAACTCTTATATTTAAAATATTTAACTATACTCAATATTAACATATTAGTTTTAACTTTTAAAATAAGTATGTTTTGGTAAAGATAATATTTAGATAAGTTAGATAATTCGTCAAAAAAAAATAAAAAACTGATTACTTTAAGTCATCCTCTTATTTCAAAAAAAAAGTAAATCTTAAAATTCTTGAGAATAATTAAATACTCAAACAGATGTATACAAGTAAACAGTGTAACAAAATTAAAATGAATAATGAAGTTAAAAAACAAATTACATTTTAACACTAAAAAAATTAATAGTAATAACAAATATTTGGTAATAAGATGCGTGATGAAATGAATCTTAAAACATTTTAGACAAACTGAAAAACACATACCAGATAGTAACTAAAATAAGTAATTAAATAGTAAAATTGTCTATCCCAATCACAAAAATGCTCATAATATAGTACAATCCAATTTTTTTTTTTAAATACATATGCTTCATTTATTTATAGTTAACAAATATTTACTATACTCGAATAAATATTGATATATATATCAACATAAGTATAATTATAAAAATGTTGGCTATCATTGAAATGGCTAACTTTATTTTATTATTATTATTATTATTATACTCTTTACAAGTTATTAAGTTATTAGAGTAAACTTGAGTATATTATATCAATAATTAATTAATAAAAGTATTATTGTTTACATCTATTTAATTATTATTACAATATCATAAAAGTCCATAATATAAATTATCCATATACTATACAACTGGAGACATTTAACTTTATTCTTTAATTTGTCAACAATATTAGTATAAAACATTTATTTAAATTTTAATAACATAAATCAATTTACCAATAATGGTTAATCTATCAAAGCATGAAGATAAACTTGCATTTAATAAAATAACTTTTTAGTAAAACCTCATAACTCGTTAATGCTTAATTAATTAGTTATGTTTTTCATGTATACAGAAATGAAGTTCAGCAAACATTTTTTAGTAAGCACTAGCATACCTCACTAATTTATTGCTTATTTTTCACTAAATATTTTAGTTTCTGTTTGCACAATGTTAATAGTGTTAATACTTTGACTTACTCACCACATTTATTTACTGTTAAGATCTGTCCTTAAAGTAATAAATGATGCATAACTCAAAATATTATCATATTTAGTAAAATAAAAAGGAAAAAATAAAAAAATAATACAAAAATTATTTATCTCAATAAAAAAGGTGATTTACTTCTTAAATTTAAGTACATATCATTTGGAACAAAGGTTTTTCATTTAAGTTATATTTGAACAAAAGAATATTATTTTACAATCACAAGGGGGGGGGGGGGATTTTGCATAGAAAATTAAAAAAAAAAAATAATTGTTGTTTCATTACAGTAATAGTCTTGTAAATCAAAATACTGAATTGTACACATAAAAATAAATTAAAAAAGACCTCCCTGGTCGTACAAAATTATATATAGTATGCTTCTTAAAGGAAAAACAGAGAGTTGGATAATTTAACACTTGGCATTTGTCTAACATTTTGTCCAACAAGATAAGCCAATTTATGTGCATACTAGAAAAAAAAAACATTATTACTAAAAATAAAAGTTAAATATATACAGATAATATACTACATGATTTACATATATACATGATTTTATTTACTACAATAAAATTTGTCCCAACAATAAATTTTATAGAATTATTATATCACATTTATCTATGACTATATAGCCTGTTTTTAGCTACAATTTGTTTTTATTAAATTATTTTGAAGTACTTAAATACTTTAGAAATACAAGCATATTAATTTACTTAATTTAGTCAAAAATCATCAATGTTACTTTATAATGAAAATCTCAACAATTTACGCTCAAAGAAATAAAAGAAAACCTCTATATAACAGTGGCGGCTCGTATTCAAGTGGATAATGTGCAATATTTGCAGAAGTTCATAAGAAAAAAAATTAAAAACTACCTAGAATATTTTTATAGTACGTATGTATTGAAATATTTATACAGTCTAAAAAATAATTCATGTACCTACAAATATAATACCTAATAATATGCATAAATAGTAACCTATTAAAATTCTATTAATTAACAAAAAAAAAAAAAATTAAACAATTGTATACATGAATTTGAGTCTTTTCTCTATGAAATAATAACCAATATGGAATACAATGGTTATCGTGGTGTGCAGCGACTGCTGCATAGTTTCATTAATTTTCGTCCACTCCCTCCCCCACACAATAGCTTAACAAATTTACACAGACAAATAGTGTTCTGATTGAGCTACATACCAAATTATGTGTATTTATTACATAACTTCAATAAATTGTAGAAATAATATTTTCGGGTATATAAGCAAACTTGGTGAATATAATTTTTTTTAAATCAATACATTATACAATAAATTATTGTAGTTTAACTTATATTGTATAAAAGTTGTGTAAAAAATTGAAAATCAATTTTTACTATTTTATCTGTATTAATTTACGTGGTGTGCGCACACTTGCATACCTAGGAACGAGCCTAGGAATTATTAAGATATTTTAATAGGATATAAATAATAATTGACAAAAGAAATTTTTAATATTCACATCAGCCCATGTAATAAAAAACTTATGTTTTTAAGAATATCAGAAAATATTTTAACTGAAACATAAAATGACATGGCCTTGTAATGAAAAATTATGAAATCAGTAACTTTAATGATTGGTTTTTAACACGGAGAATTCAGTTATTTGAATTAAGTGTAAATAATACAATCATACATACTGCATACTAAATGCAAATACTTCATCAAAATAATATATGTTAATATACATATAAATAATTTAATATTCATATTTTATATTTACTTGAACAGGAGCAGGTACTTTGACTGTGCCACACCAATTGTAATACAAGTGACACAATTTATAAGATAATCTTTGAACATTTTCAATACTTAAATTACATCCATTTTTTAAAACAATGTAATGAGTAGGATTAACAGTACCCTGTATATGAAAAAAAAAACAAAAACATTTTAATAGTTCATTAAAAAAAAAAAAAAAAACAATTAAACATAATATTTTTTATAAGAAATATATTTTACCTGGCGCACATGTTGAGAGACCAAAAAAAAATCAACATAATTTCTTCTGGTTACAGTGCTGTCAATAACAGTTCCAGAACTTGGATTTGAATATTTATTATTTAGATACTAAATATAACAAAAATATTAAAATTTTAAAAATAAATATTTCATCATAAAAAAAAAATATATTTAAACCTTATTTTGAATGTTAGTATAAAAACGTAGGAATGACATAACTACGGAGAACTTAATTAAAATTAAAATTTTTTTTTTGTTTTAAATAACTTATAATAAAAAAAGATTGAACAACACAAAACTATAGTATCTTACATATTATGTTTCGGATTTATTTTCATTGATTCAAAATATATTTATTGAATATCAGTTACAATTAATTGTAAAAACAATAAGCCTTAAATTACAAATGTATGTTTTTGTAGTACTTTATGAGAATATCGCCACTGTAAAAAATGTGGCTTGAGTTGTACAGATAATACAGGAAGATAATTAATATCACATTATTTTATATCTGTGATAATGTACGACTATTTCTAATTAATCATACAAATTGTGTAAATAATTTAATACTTGAGTTATTAGAATTATACCAATTAATAAAATAGGCTTTTTTAAACACATCAACCAATAGTATGATAACATTTGTTTCTAATAAAAACTATACTTTAAAACAAATTTTTAAAATTATTTTTATATAATTTGGGAAAACGTAATAACAAGTTACATAAATATATTAATTTAATGTACTAGTTTAATTTGTCATACTTTACCTGAAAAACTCTAGTGTTAATGCGTTTCTGAACAATTATTAAAGAAACTAAAGGATTATAACTTCCAGGGTAACTCTTGAAAGATTCAATCAAGTCTGATAGTTCAATTTCTTCTACTTGTTTTAAATCTCCATCAGATACACCATCTCTATATATAATTATTTTTTCAGGTAACAACCCATTAATCTAAAATAAAGTATTGTAATTAAATTTAAAACAAAAATAAAATAATATAATTAACACCGACTGCTTTAAACTGGCAAATAACTTTATGAAAAGCATCTTGCATAGATTTCATAAGTTCTTGATGAGTACTCCTTTGCATTGCAGCAACTGAATACCATTGAGTAAATGTCTTATCCATTGAAGCAACAAAACCAACCACGCTACTCATTTGTTTACCTTTTTCGTGGTATACATCAATTCCTACTATCATAGTATTTTTCTAAAAAAAAAATAAAAAAAGAATATTAAACTCAAGTTTAATAAAAAAAAAAGTTTTCAAAAATATTGATAGATTCAATAAATGAATAATACTCTGTATAATATTAACAGCATTTAAAGTTTATTTAAATGTTTCCATTACTATTTTTGTTTTAAGATGCATCATTTTTATATTATCCATCAAAAATATTAGTTTTTTTTTTTTTTTTTGTCAACATAAATATTTGACAATAAAATAAAACTAATCATGATTTAAATCAATGAAACTATTTAGTAACATTGTTATAACGCTACTATTAAAAAATTACAAGAATAATATTTGTCAATACCTTACTAGCATAGTATCTAGACATTTTATAATTATCTAAGATGTCAAAACAATATTTGTTATCTTTCTCATACCCACGTGGAACAAAAATAAAATACATTCTTGTGAAATTGTTTTATTACAATTTTTAGGTAATTGTATGGTAAAATTGCCTATCAACAAAATATAGAGGATAATATTTTTAAGGTTTAACTTTTTGGTTTTTAGATATGTTATATCTTTATACTTAACTTTAAAATAATAAAAAAATTTGTTAATTTAAAAGGACTCAAAAACATAAAAAATATAATCCGGTGTTAATCCATTTAATATATATTGCAGATGGACCAAAGAGAAAAAACAAATAATGAACTGACATCCTTTTATAACATGATAAAAACTTAAAATATTAAAAACTCAAACAGAATTATGATGAGCAGTTTTACTTAACTCTATGTATAAAACAAATGTTTAATATTATCACACCCTCTTAGACTATTTCGATTTTTTAATTATAATAATGATCATCAATAACATTAAAAAGGACATCAATAAATTTATCCATAAAATAAAATAAATATAGGAAAATCATACCAATGGGATGTCAATAGCCCAACAAGCACCTCCTAATTTACAATTAATTTGTAAAGCAATTTTTTGAGTAATTGACTGTAATTTATCTGGTCTAGATAAAGTTCTTGAGATTATTACCTGAAATATAAAATATAATAAAATATAACAGTAATAAAAAATTAATAATTGTTCCTCTTATTACTTGAGATGGAATTCCAATTTCTGAACAACAAATCCGTTTAACAGCATTATATCGGTCTTCTCTTTGGTTTGGAAATATAATAACAACCAATTGCAGATCTGGATTATTCCTTAATGTGTTGTTTATTGTACTAACATAAACCTCTGGATTTGGGCCTGGAACTTTAATTGGCTTTGGTGGACTAATTTCCATACCAAGAGCACGGCTGCATAAAGATAATTGTTTGCAAAATGCTTTAGCTGTTCCTTCATCTCTTGGATTATACATAATGGCCCAATTTAACATGTTTACCTAAAAAATAATAACCATTCATAAAAGAAAAATATAAAGAGCTAAATTAACATTATTGTTATTATTTAGAAAATAATAAAACATATCACTTTTTATAAGTTGAATAAAATTATAAATTAGCTACAAACTGCAAGAAACATTTCTTAAACATTTTTTATATACTTACAGCAGTAAACATAGCATTTTTTGCTACATCCATTCCCCAATCCATGTTCATTCCAACTTGTTTTCTGATATTATTTCCTAGTAATATAGTTTCTTTTTTATAAACAGGTCCTTCCATCACTGCTGGGATTGGACGCATCACAAGACCCCAATCTTTAAATTTCTTGCTAGCACCTTCGTCAGCTAAAAAAATTAATAAAAATTACACTATTTTAAATTTATTATTATTTTATGGCAAAATGTATTGGATCATACATTATACACTTCAATATTCTATTATTAAACAATCATTTTTATAAAAAATTTCATCAATAGTTATTTTAAAACGAATTATTTTAAATTTAAACATTTGATATAGTAAGTACGCATAATATAATTCTTATACCATTTATACGATTAACAAAATCAATTATAGCATTTTGTCGCACTTCTGGTGTTACCAAAGTGTGGTTTTGAAGAGCCTTCATTAATTTGAAATCGGATTTCATTGCTTCAGTAAGTCCAGTTAAATTACAAAGTTCAGGAACTAAGCAACAAATATCTGAATCCTGTAAATTAAAAATAATATTGTTTATTAAGTTATTTAAATTTAACGAAATAATTACCAACCTCGGTTGCATTTTTTTTATTCAAATCTTTTCTTTTAGCTTTTGTTATAATCATGGGCTGACTGAGATTTTTAATTTCAATGTCATACATCTTTTTGTAATAATCTTTGTATGATACCTAAACACAATAATTAATTACCTATACAAATAACAGTAATTCTAGTGATAATCTTAAGGTTAAAACCTTGAAAATGTTTAAAATTTGTAAAAGTTAAGTTGTAATAATATAATTTACTTCAACGCCACTTTGGTTAAAAGTTGATAAAGGATTCATTGAAAAGTCTACATCATCAACTCTGTACGTCTTACGATTGTAATGTGTAATTACTGTACAACCACACAATGAAGCCATTATTTCTTGCTTACTATCTGCTTTGTTATCTTTTGAATTCATAATATCTGTCCTGTATAAAAGTATATAAATATATAAATTGATTTATATATCAATAAACCTTGCTAGATATGAAACTGATTAATAATAAATTTAAAATTTAAGTACAAGAACAGAAGAATTATATCACAGTATATATATTACATAAATATAATATGTTACAATATATACAATTATATGAGTAACACATTTTATTGGTTTGATATTATTGAATAAAATACCTTTATAATAAAAATATATAAATGATATACAAAATGAGCTTGAGTTCAAAGTATGGAATGTAAAATATTCCAAATAATAATATACACAACATCTATTCAAAAATTTTAAATTTCCTATTTAAAAATAGGTTAAAAATAATTAAAATACTAATATCCAAATCAAAAATAATATATTTGTACTATTTGAAAATGAGTCAATAAAAATCAATTAATCTGAATTTACATAAATTTGATTTAAGAAAGACCATATTTTAAACATAACTAATTTTTTTACTATTTGAAAGTCGGTAATAATTTCTTAAGTTATTAAAATTATATGACAATAGAACTAAAACTAAACTATCAATATATTATTTTTAAGTTTACAATCAATCTCCGAAAAAAGCTACTAAAACTTTATGTAGAATTAAAAAATACACCACCATAATAACATTTTAATGTTAATAACCAAAAATAATAAATGAAGTTAAATGTTGTACATATAATTGAAAACATGAATACACTTACATTATTTGAATAACAGTTTGTACGCGTAAAATCCTATGTGAAACTTCACAACACATATACAGACCATTTTCAAACTCGTCAATAGTAGTTATGTAGCCTGGCCAAATTTCAAGTCTACAATAAATATTCAAAAAATTAATCAATCAATCTCAAAACCACAATTATTTATTATTTACTTAAATTCAGGGATGAGTATCCTTTTATTTTGATCATAACAACTTCTACCAAATTCTATTAAGCCTAGAATCTTCATTATTGTACGTAAAAAAACATTATAAAAATGTATACATTCACGCAAAGAATTTTTACGCTTAAATGTTATTGTCATAGTAACTTTAGATTCATCTTTTAATTTTCCCACTAATGTTGTTACCTAGTAATAGAAATTTAACATTTGTCATAAAAATATACTAAATTATAAATTTTCATAATAATTACATTTTCTGGTAGCATTTTTGGTACATAAAGTAATGTTCCATCAAATATTTTTACAGGGAATTTATCTCTATGTTCATTAATCAAAAAAAACCTAGCAGGTTTTGCATCAACTGGAGGATGAAAATCGACTCTATATTCATATATTCCTTTGTCTTCTTCCAGTTCAATTCTTATGTAATTTGATGATAATTGAGTCCTAAATAAAAACAACAAATATAAAATTACTCTTGAGCATTATTAGAAGATTATATAAATGTATTTCATAATTATTACAAAAAATAAATGGTATACGTAGCTTTTTATGAATGAAAATATTTAAATTAAATTAAACATTGTTAGCACTACTTAATCATTTACTAAACTAATAATAAATACTGAATAAAAGTTAATTACTAAATCTTAAGTGATATCATATAAATTAAAATATGTGCTCATTAATTTAAATATATTCATGACACATTCTTCCAAACTTAAAAGTTATAACTTTAAAAATAATTAATAATAAACAAAATATCACATATATCATACATGTGGAAAGCATCTTTATCTGACTTTCTTACAGCCCTACATATAACTGGAGACTTTTCTTCTTTTACTGTTAGAATTTCTTCAATTTTTGGTTGTGGTTGTTCTGGTGATGAAGGTGATTTAAGTATCTCAGTGTTTTTTAATACTGGATTAATAGTTGGACGCCTAAAAAATAGAAAATGAGCAATAAAATGTTTTAATTGATTTAATTTAAATAAATATAAATCTAGATTTTTTTTATAAATATAAAGTATATTAATAATAAATTCTTAGGAATTTCAACAATAAAAAATAATTATTTATCAGTTAAGCTCAAAAGTATGAAACAATATTAAGTTAATTTTTTTATTGAACTCTTGAAAATATATTTTTACACTATTTCCAGTTGAAATAAAACTTTTTTAAATTATATTTATCATCATAATCTATAAAATTTTTACTTTTTTTTAATAACAAGATACATTTTTAATTTTTATATTTTGGTAGATAAAAATAGAAATTCAGGCGATTAGTCTGTGAGCTATAATCAAGTGGAGTTTGAGAACAACATTTTGCAGGATACCACAAAACTTCATTCACTTTAAATTTTAAATACTTATAACTCATAAAAAACTCGTCCAAATTTTGATTTTATGTATTATATCCAAAACTCCAAAAAATATTCTACTTTAGAACATGAAACTAAAAATGTATGTAATCCTTCAAAAAAGTAAAAACTTAATAAATTATAATAAAAATATTAAAAAATATTCATTTTTTCTTTTTGAATGTTGTTATAATTTGACAGGAAATTATGCAAAAAAAAATTTAAAAACTTTTATAGATTATATATGCATATATATATATATTATAAACTTGGAACATCAAATTTAGTTTTATAAGTATTAAAATATTATCGATTAATACATTATTTTATAAAAAAAAAAACATTTCAATACTAACACAATATTTTTTGAATTATCAAGCTCAATCTTTGAGATTGTTGATGTTACGTTTTCACACAATTTTTGAAAACCACTTCCTTGTGCATTAGAAAACATGGCCTGAAAATAAATATATTTTCAAAAAAATCTTCAAACAAAATTTATAATTGATTTTATAAGAAAAATATAAAATAAATCAATTTAAAAAAAAAATATTACTCAAATATTTTTCTGTTTCATCCCATATTATAAGCTAAATAATTACCTACCAACACTATATTAATATTAATATTTTAACAAAAACTATCTGCTGAATATAAAATAGAAGATTTATATATTAAATGCCTTAAGTTTTATTAACTTAAATTCAGTAATGTAACTTAATAAAAAAAAAGAAAAATTAATGTGTAATCTTTTAAACTAAGCATTTTTAATAAATAATATACTAAATAATGATTAATTAACTATTTTTCACGTATTTTAATGTCTAATTTAATAAAATATACTTAAGTAACTTAAGTAAATTTATTTTCCAAATCTAACCTCAGAAAAAAAATTCAATTTACCTATTTGGACAACATTTAAAAACATATCTGCATTATTGAATTCATAACTATTTTAAGAAACAATACTAACACATGAAATTAGACACTAACTACTAATGTTTAAATTCTAATTTATAACTATCAACACCACTAAATATAGCATACAATAATTTAGTACTATCAATATCAGATTATTTTATTATAAAAATAGTTTCAAATATTATTATACAAATATTAAGCATTCTTTAATTTTGTGTAATACTTTAAATTTTGAAACATTAATGTAATAATTTCATTTCTATTAAAAATATTTATTTTTACAAGTAAAACAATTAAAAAATTACCCTCCTTCCACGAACAACTTGTTGATGGCCAGCAGCTAGGGTTTGTGTACTTAGGACAGGAATCGGAGTTTTTGGCACGTCAGAAGGTGGTATTGATTGAGCTGATAATTTTAGAGGTTCTTCAGGTTTAGGTGGTTCCTCTGGATTTTTAGGAGTGACCTGAGCCAAACGGCTCTTTAAAAAACCTCTTCCTGACATTTCTGGAAAATTATTTAAAAATTAATAAAATTCTTAGTGCTACTTATAAGTAACACTTTTAATCAAGTCTTTCATACATTAATAGTCTTATTGCACTTGTATATAATTTTTGTTATTAAAATAGTAATATCTCATATATTAAAAATATTAATTGTTATAAGTAGAAATGTGGTAAAAATAAGTAAAATATTAGGAGAATAACACAATTTAAAATGATAAGTATAGTATTATTGTATTTGATACTAAGGGATAAGTGATAAGTAATAAATACCAAAAAATATTTACATCAAATTTAAATTTAATTACTTTAAACCTTATATTTTTGTGAAAAAAATAAACTATTAATAATATTATAATTAAAATATTCCAAATGTTTTCTGAAAATAAATATATATATACATATACTTATACATACACAAACCTCAAAATCACTTTTTTGATTTATCAAGTAATTCATCAGTTTTTCATAATATATTTAAAGTAAAACAAAAATGTAACATATTGTAGAATTATTGAATAAATAATTTAATAATTCTAAAGAATGCTACTAAAAATCTCTCGATGTAGGTCTTGAAGATAAGAATACCATGTAAACAGTGACATTAATTGTCTGTTGCAAATGTGAATAATGTGATACATGCACTATCAAATTAGATACCTGATTATGAAAATTCTTGTTTTGCACCATCAGAAAACCTTAAATTTATGGTGAATAAGACACAATAACCAGGTTGCATATTTATATTATTATATGATATAATTTATTATTTATCCATTTTTCATTAAATAATGAATTGAACATAATGAAACTACCATTTTAAATTTATTAAAAATACCATTTTATTTGTAACCATGATTAAATTATACTCACAATTAAGCTGTATTCATACAATACTCTATTACTCTGTCCAGCAATCAGTTTCTTTCACTATGACAGCAGTGTAAGGATATGCAAACGAACAACTCTTTGTCAGTACATTTAAGTAGGTAACTGGATGTCAAAAAATGTTATCCACAAATATAATAAATTCAACACTACATAACATAAGAACCTGTGACTTTAGCATATCAATCAATATAATACAACATAATAATTGATAGTAGTTAACATTTTTTGTTATCAGACACTAGTTATCAGTTATCACCAACTATATTTTAGTTTTCTTTTTTTTTGTTTAAGTATACTATTACTATTTATTAACTACATTACTTTCTTATAAATTGATGAAGTATTTTTTATTTATATTATGATATAATAGTAGAAAAATAAATTAGAATAAAAATATTTAGGTGGCTTGGCGTGGCGCGTTGGCTGCTACCAGTCGCGGAATACGACTGAGAGTAAGGACCACAACTACTAGCTCCTGTATGGGTGACCACCCAGCATCATAGTGGTTAAAAACCTGCCACACATACACGTGTTTACTATCAACCGTAATAATCAAAAAAATATTTAGGAAAAAACCTACTTTCCAGTAAATTGTAAAAATATGATATAGTATAAAGTTATATTATATACATATAATAATTCAAAAATAAATTGACTTTTTTGGTATTCATTAATTATTGCATTTTTTAAGTCTTATACACCATTTAGTATAATTTTGAAGTAATTTATAAAATATATTACCATGTTATACAGTATTTGTTTATAGTTAATAATTTCACACCATACATCATACCTTTGATTTTAAGTATCATAAATAACTAAATTACTTAATTTATCTAATAAAAAAATGTATTTCACATAAATTTAATTTTAATTATTTAAAATCTATAATTAATTTATATTTTAATCCAAGCCTTTAGCCTTTAGTTCTTTAATTAAAATAAAATCAATATCTTTTTAAATTCAACACTAGAAATTTTTTTTTTTTTTGTTTCATTAAAGTAATCTACAATCTATACATATTTTGTAAATTTGATAAATGACAAAAATAAGAAGTTGAAGTAGTAATTCAGTGTTTATATTTATTTTAGATTTCAATAGGGGTATAAGGAGGTGGAGACAAGTATTAAGAGTTTTCCGTTTGGCATTTAGGTATGAATTCCAGGTTAGTTTATTGTCAAGAATGAGACCAAGATATTTAACTTCTGAATAAGAGGGGATTGGGATGTTCTATGAGATTATGAGGCTAAATTCTTTTCTTAGGGTAAATGTAATAAAGGAGGACTTTGACTCATTAATTTTAATTTTCTATCTTTTTGTCCAGAGGTCAATTAAGCTGAGGTGTCTTTGTAACACTAGAACTAATGATTAGGTTTTCATTAAAGGCCACAATTATAGTGTCATCCGCGTAGGAACCAAGTTCAGTGAAGAAAATTTTAGGAATGTCATGTGTAAAGATAATTAAGATAATACAAGAAATACAATTGTACATACACAAATATGAGAATTTATCTGTACTTAATCAAAATAAAGATATAAAATAACACCCATTTAAATGAGACGACACTTTATCAACACATCTTGATAAGGGCTTCATCTAAGAGCAATAAATTATAAAATTTAACTAATTATAGATTATTACATAGTAGTTTGAGGAACCAGTTATAAACTTTTCTATCATCTAAACTGACTGATAAATAATATATTTTAATAAAATAAGTTAAAAGAGAAGACTTTTACAATTATACTTAACCTTATATATACTGGAGTGACCAAATTGCACAACAAAACAACGTGGAAGGGAAAAACTGCACAATAACGCACGTTACCATAGAGACGATAGGTTGTTGCGCAACTTTTGGCCACCTCTGTATATAGTTATATTTAAAAAATAATACCTAATCATTTTGTTTAAAACAACAAAAATTAAAAAATATAAAAACAAGTTTGAAATATTTAAACATTATAAGCCACAAATTAATAAATATTAATATTACTAGATTATGTATAATTTGCAATCAGATGATTAAAAATAAAGACATAGATACATCTCCTAATGACTTATATACCGTTTGAAAAGTGAATGATTCTAACTTATAAGTTTTAATGAAACTAATAAGTACACAAGCTTAGTACAACATTTCATGCATTTATTGGTTAACTTAATATTTTTATAAGGTCCATTAAATAGACTAGCTAATTACTTATTAAATCAACAAAACAGAATAAAAAATATGATTGATTTGTGAAAAAGTAGAGATTGGAGTGAACAAAAAACTTATTTTCGACATTTTACATTTTGCCATAGTGATATTTAATTTACTGGGCACAAGACATTTCTATATAAACTTGTATTGTTTTTCAGATAGATTATTGAAAATATTTTAAGCAAAGAATTGTTTATAATAACACATTTCTCAGTTTCTATACACTAATAATATAGGAAAATCAAAACCAGCTGTTATTAACTATTGATACACATAATGTATTGAACACCAGATCAAATATTATAATTGTTTCACATCAGCTAAAAAAATTGAAAGGATATAAAAGTACTATGATTACCATGGATTGCATTGGCTGGGCATTTGACATTAATTAACAATTATAAGTCATGATCAAATATGAACATGTTATTGATAAATTTACATATAAAACTATACTTATCAAACAATGAAATCCAAAAAAGTAAAAATTACAAAGTTTGATTAATATTGGCACATCTATCTTATAGTTTTTAAGCAATATGATTCAATAAAAGAATATTTAATAATTACAAGATCGATATAAAACCAATACGTTCCTTACTAATTTCTTTAGTACTTAAAAGATACACATTCCATTAACAACTAGAAAAAATTTAAATAGAACACCAAACAGTGAATCAATGTGCACCAGCAAGGGTTCCAATCATCAGACACTGACATGAAGAAAAGTATTGCAACTATCGTTTTAAAAGACATTACGACGCATCATCATCAAAGTTAATTCACACATAAAAGCCTTCATACGTGCGCTGTATACACAGATGATCAGTGTACAAAGCGCTATCATTTAACTACGTCCATAAAATCGATAGACCGGATTTCTGATTAATTTTTCTTATCCGATCGGCCGCCTTAATAAATAATGGTAAAAAAAATGCTTAACTTACCTCTTATGTGTAGTCACCGGTAATGACGAACAGGTGAACTCGGAAACAACCACGTAATAGTACGCTCGTGTTCAGATGTATAGAACACACGCTGACAATTGCGTATTCTATACAAGAGTTGAATTACGGAAACAACGTTATCTTCAAAAAAAATTACAAACAAGAAAAAAAAATATAAATTGTAAATTTATCACTAACTGGAAACAAAAGACTCGAATTTACCGTGACGTACGGAAAAAACGGGACGAGCCGAAAACAAAATGGAACCTGAAACGGCAGAAACGCATAAATTTGTTTCCACAGTATCAAGCGGACAGTGAAATGTGCTGGTAATGATGGCGTCCTGGACACCTGTGCCGCTAACTCCCACCTTTCCATAGGACAGTATAAACCAAAATTTTCGATTTGCTACCATGGTCTGGAACCGTTTCCGGTGATATAAGGTTGGCAACACTATGTTTCCAGATCCGAGACCCGGAACTTATGAAAAGATGATAGACGTTAAACTTAAATATATCTATAGTCATACATTTAGACCATTTATTATAAATACTATTTATAATCAATGATTTAAACTATAAATATAGTTATATATCACACAATAAAACGTATTATGATCAAAGGTCGTGCGGCATTAAAATTAATGAATCTACGATAATTAAATAATTTATCTGTTATCGGCTGACTGACTTATCGCAAATTAGTAGAATAAATGAACAATGATAATATATTTTATCATTTGTCTATTGTCAATAGTCATAGCTATTAGCTACTGCCTACTGCCTACTACAAAAATACGAACGGCACAACTCACAAATAGTTTGGTCAACGGCTCAATAAAATAATAATTTAATATTATTTAATATCAATAATGTACAGCTAGTGTCATTGAACATGAACTTAGTTTATGGGTTCATCATATTGAATAATATTTTTGTAATTTGTCGGACAATCAGTGTCGTTGAGATGTGGCGGTTATAACGAAAAATATTTTCTGTAACGTTGTTCGACAAAGTATGATGTCAGTATGTCACATAACTAAACTTTGGCTGTTTTACGTTCTTTGTGGTATTATAATAATATTAAAATGTAGTTATTAAGTATAAAAAATGTTTATACAAGTTATCCGAGTGTGTGTCACAACAAAAAAATTATTTGTCATCATCACAGATCGTCCTATCAATTAGTAGTAAAAGAGAGACAGTCGACATTGTTTATAGTTATTCCCTCTTTTAAATGGAGTAAATGTTCATTGCGAACAAACTATAACATTGACCACAAAACCACGGTAATGTAAATAAGTGATACCTAATTGTCAATTTTGTGATTTATCTATAGGTACCTCTGCGTTACACTAAATCTACTCGTCCAAAGTTAAAGATACGTTTAGAAGAATATAGGAACTTTCTATAGAAAAAAACTGTAATAACAAAAAATAATACCTAGTTACCTAGATACTTAGTTGGTAAAATATAGATACAACTATTGTGATATAATAATAATATAAATGTAGATAGTAACCATATTAAAAATATATCTTAATTTATAGTACTTATTATAATAATACTTACATAGTTATATGTATAAGTTGTTTAAACTAAAATCAGGATAAGAAATATACTCATAGATACGAGATACCTATATTTTAGTCATCAATTTTGTCTGTAGTTTAATAGATGTTCCGATATTCTTAATAACCATAAGGTCTATGATAATAACTAGGGCTAGGATTTATATGCAATAAAAAATTGTATATATTATAATGCGGGGATTAGAGCTTTTTCTTGTATATAATATATTTATTTTTGTAAGGCGACTTAAAGTACCTATATACAAATAAAGTATTATATAAATATGTTAGGTATGTACCTTACCTTTTGTATAACTTATACACCGAATTTGTCTTCTTAGTTAATTGATTGATTGTTTTTCAGGTTTTAATAAAAACCGTGAATAATATATTGAAATAATATTTTTAATAATCAAAGAATATTACAAATAGAAGCTAAGATAGATTTTAGAGAATGAACAATTAATGAGTGGATACTGTGTGAGTGGTGACTGAGCTGTGAGCATGTTTCATGTGTCATTTAGGTTTTTATAGATGTTCTAAAATGCCGCCTTTGCTTGTAATTAAAACATAGATTGCGGCATCTCTTAAACATCTGTGTGTTGTATGACTTGTATGTGAATAGTCGGAGTGTTGATAATTTTGATGTAATTAGTATATCTAAATGTCCTCTAATTAAAAGTACTTAGATAATAGAAATATAAAATTATGTACATAATCTATTATCTTAAATCTAAATGTTGTCTAATTAAATGTAATTAAATATAGTATATAATTAATATTTATATAATTTATTTGTGAAGTCTAAATTTTATTTAATAAATATATACAATTAAATTTAAACTATAATAATTGATGTATTATAATAGATATATATTATTACAATACAAATTCTAGCCATAGTATTAACAAATAAGTAAAAATTGTGAACCTAATTTGAGGAGCTACATTTTAAAACGTACTATTTCCGAAATGTCATAGATTGAATTATGTACCTATAGAGTATAGATTCAAATGAAAAAAATAAACGGAAAATCGAATGGCGTGGTCAAATTAAACAAAAACGCACTATTTCCCATGGTGAATGATTAATTAATTTATACATATTAACTTTGCAAGTTAATTAGAATAATTTATTTATTTATTTATTTATATTTTCTACATCTGTAAACATTATCATCATACATCAAACATTGTAAATTGTGATTAATGTTATTACTGGAAGTAAAATGCGTCAAAACCGTCGATGGCAAGTGATATCCCTATCATATTGATAATATTCACTTTAAAAACCTCAAACTTTGTAAAATAGTTACCTACCTAAAAAAAATATATGTAAAGTAGAATTAATTAAACAATAATAATAATGAATAAATCGAGGACTAGATCTCTTGTGCGTCTAGCAAGACAGAAAGTAAGTATCTACCTATACTTTATTAATATATTTTTTTTTAAATAAAAACATAAATGTTAATATTTAGTAAAGACATTATAATGTTTCCATAAAATATGATAAGTAAGTAAACAGGTAGTTACTAAAAACTTTTATTATATATTTTTTATTAATGTACCTATTACATTTTTTATTTATTATTAACATTTTGTACTATTTATTAAATACAAAAATATAAAAAGCAAATTAATTATATCTACATATTAATCAGAACAAAACATGATATTTATTGGAATTAGGACATTATGATATAATTCAGTAATTTAAATTATGAATTAAATTATTTTTTAAATAAGTACATTTTTATGAATTTTTGATATTTTTAGATTATTTTTACGAGTTTCTAGTAATCGAGAATAGAAATTTAAGGTTTCTGAAAAAAGTGTAAAATGGAAATAGTATGTTTTGAAATGTAGCCTCTCATTTGACGTATCTAGAAAGGATGAAATTCTAAAAAATAATTACAGATTTTTGATAACATATCACAAACACACTGAAGTAACCATTAATATGCTAATTAATTTTACCATTATATAATATTAATATCAAATAAAATAAAATGTATATGAAACATATTACTAAAAATGTATTTTTATACAAAGTACAATTTATCATAATTTATAATTGAATAATTATAAGCACTAGTGGTCAATCTTTTAATGATGTCAAATTTATAACAAAAACCATAAAAAAGAATGTTAGACAAAATTGACCATTTAAAAAGAGGTTTTCATTATTCATTGATGTATATGATGTCAATGAGCCTTAATTGCTAAATTTCATTTTTTGTGTCTGTGTGAAAATTATTTTAATAAATTAAATCAATTAGGTAATATTATAGTTAATATTTTTATTTTTATTATTGTTAAAATGAATTCAGTTAACAGTCCATTTTATAATATTATCACAAATTCTACTAAAAGGATTTGTGTGTATTCTTCTGCTAAATGTATTACTTTCAAAGTTTTAAACTGTATCTGTCTTAAGGATATGCTAGAATACAAAATTTACTATATTTATAATATACTCTTCCATTAGATATTTTAATTCTCTATAGTTAATTCAATAAATAGTAAATAAATTATTATATTTCAACAGATTTTTAATAACCAAAATTCAAAAATGCTGATTTTAAGCTGACACTTAAGAAAAAATACCTAACAACTTTGTTACCAGTATAACCAAAAACATATTCCATGACTTTTTTGTCACATGTATTTTTAAAATTTCTTTTATTGATACCAGAACTAGGCACCTATATAGAACCATTTATTTGTTTATGGAATTATTGTAGTCTGTAGAAATGGTATTTGCAAAAAATTCTTCATCACTTCTTCACATATTTTACTGTATTTCTATTATACGAAACTGATTTATTCAAGTTTAAATAATAAATGTATTGTATCAACATTAGTCATTAATTAAAGAAGATTTAGTTAGAAAAGGAAAATTAGTGGTTAATAGCTATGTATAATATTTATTTGAAGAATTTTAAAACTATTTAATTAAAATAATTGAGCCTCATTGTCATCTTAACTAGGAACCTAAATACCTAATAGTCTTTTAATTTTTATATTTCCTTAACCAAATGTTCTTATAAATCCTAATACTGTTGAGCCAAAAGGGCTATTTATTTGTATCATGTATGCACATGTATTCTATTGGACAAGCAGAGTCAGTTTATTTATTATATTGTTATATAGCTTAAATAGATATTGTGAAATAATTCTTTATAAATTTATTTTTCTGAGAATTATATAATTGCAGGTATCATTCTTTCACGTATGTTACCAGTAATTATACACAAATTTAGTTACTATTTACCAATTATATTAAAACAACCATTAATCACTACCTACGTAGCTTATCATTTTTTTTTTAATAACTATGAATAATGAATTTCAAGTTGAAAATAATAAATTTTTTGACCAGTCAGAAGACATTTTTTAGTCTTCATTTTAATTTTTTATTATAATGTATGAATATAACAAAAACATACTAAATAATTTGAAAAAAAAAGAACAATTATTTAAGCAGTTCTAACTTGTGATTTCACATTTGTTCACAACTTTTATATCAGGAGTATATCTCAACAAGCATAATCAATAATCATTGCTTAGATAATTGGTAGTTAATTAGACAAAAATACTGTTCATGGTTGGGAACTTCATTGAAGCCATTTCAAGCTTCCAAAATATTCCAATTTTGAAATCTTATTGGCTAAATGTTTCTTAGCTTAGAATTGAATTCATTCACTCTGAATATAAATGAAACTCAAAAAGACATGTGATATTGACACCATA